AAGCTTTTTCCTATTTGCCAAGTAATGATGGCAAGCAAAGCGGTATTCTACAGGCAGCAAAAGGCTTTTAAAAAATGTGGTTTATTTGTCTGGCTCAAGGTAGATGCCTGCTAGACTGAGCAAGCATGCATTTCATGCTTATTTCTCGATAACCCATGTTCCAGTGCAAAGTACAGGCATCAAAGTACAGGTGCAGAACTGGTTTCAGGATGACTGGTCTGGGTTTTTTTTTTCACAGATTTGTGTGGTAATAATATTACAGGTACAGCACATGAACAAAAGCCTTGATTGGAGCTAGCCCAGCTAGAGCCGCAGCCAGCACGCTACAGCGACCACGAGCTTCTACCGAGATTAGGTAAATCAGAGGGGATAGCGGAGAGGCATCGCGATTCCCGGCATTTCCCGACATTTCCCGACGTTTCCTGATTCCCAAAGTCCCAGCAGCCCTTGCGAGAGAGTGGCTAATGTGGCGGGGGTGTTCCCACAGTGACGGCAACCACTCCCCTGCCCCTTGACTTGAAAGAGTCTTTGAGAGGGCAGCGATGTGTCGCTGCCCACCAGGTGCAGGGAAGAACAGGTAGATCGTTTTGCTGACCAATATGGTCGTCTCCAGAAAGAGAGCTAGCAGTAAGAGGACTGTAGCAACTCAGACAGAGACCCCAGCCCTAACCGTGGCTGTTCAGGTCTCTGGATGCAGGGGGTGCCAGAGCCTGCTACTGCCGGGGGAGGGAGGACAGCATTCCACCTGTGTGAGGTGTGAGCAGGTAGAAGATCTGCTTAACTTGGTGGCTAAACTTAAGGAGGAGGTTGAGACGCTGAGGAGCATCAGGGAGTGTGAAAGGGAGATCGACTGGTGGAGTAACTCCCTGGCTGGCCAGTTGGAACGGCTCCAGGGAGATACCCCCCAAAAGGGGATGGACTCCCTGCCCTCTCAGACAGAGGGGGATGGCCCGAGACAGTCCCTGCCCTGTAGCTGTCGCCCAGAGGTAGGGGACCAAAAAGATGATGAGGGTTGGAAGCAAGTTCCAGTTCGGCGTCGTGGGCAGCCCTCCTCCCTTCCTGCCCTGCTTCCCCAGGTGTCCCTCCGTAATAGGTTTGAGGCCCTGGATCTTGAAGGAAAGGTAGGTGAGGATGTGGTGCAAGGCCCGCCTACAAGTCCACATAGGAAAAAGCGGTCGACTTCACACCTCAAGACTGCCTCTGATAAGAAAGAAAGAAGGGTCATTGTAGTAGGTGATTCCATTCTGAAAGGAACAGAGGGCCTGATATGCAGAGTTGACCCTCATCATAGGGAAGTGTGTAGTCTGCCTGGAGCCCGGATCAGGGATATCACCAGGGCACTCCCCAGCCTGGTGCACCCGACAGACTACTACCCGCTGCTGGTCTTCCAGACAGGTGAGGGGGAAGCCGCTTCCCGCAGTCTAAGGGGATGAAGAAAGACTACAGGGCCTTGGGGCAGATGGTGAAAGAGTCGGGGGCTCAAGTGATCTTCTCTTCACTCCTTCCATCTTCCATTGATGATGTGGGACGGAATGGGAAAATTCAGTCCATAAACGATTGGCTTCGAGGCTGGTGCTGCAGGCAGGGCTTTGGGTTCTTTGATAACAGCTGGTTTTATAGGGCACCAGTCTGGACAATGGCATGTGGGAAAGGTTTATCTCACAGAGGCAAAAGGATGCTGGGGCACGAATTAGCAGGGCTCATTTGGAGAGCTTTAAACTAGATTCGAAGGGGGATGGGGTTGTAGCTGGGCTTGCCTCAGTGGGACAGCACTCCGGTATTGATGAAGACTGGGAGGCCTCCTGTAATCCTAGGGTGAAATCGGTGTGCTCAGCTCGCTCCCTGAAATGTCTGTACACCAATGCGCGCAGCATGGGAAATAAGCAGGAGGAGCTAGAAACCTGTGTTAAGTCAGGAGATTATGACCTGGTGGCAATTACAGAGATGTGGTGGGACAGCTCACATGACTGGAATATAGTCATGGAGGGCTATGTCCTTTTCAGGAAAGACAGGCCAGCCAGGCGGGGTGATGGGGTTGCTCTTTATGTGCGAGACCAGCTACAATGTGTTGAGTTCTGTCCGGGGACAGATGACGAGCGAGTTGATAGTCTGTGGGTGAGAATTAAGGGGCAGGCTGGCAGGGGCAACACTGTTGTGGGGGTCTGTTACAGGCCACCAGATCAGGGTGAGGAAGTTGACGAGGCCTTCTACAGGCAGCTGAGAGCGGCCTCACAGTCACACTCTCCATCATCTTTACCAAGTCTTGGGAAACAGGAGAGGTGCCTGAGGACGGGAGGAAAGCAAATGTCACTCCCCTCTTCAAAAAGGGCAAGAAGGAGGACCCGGGTAACTATAGACCGGTCAGCCTCACCTCCATTCCTGGGAAAGTGATGGAACACCTTATCCTTGGTGCCATCTTAAGGCATATCAAGGATAAGAGTGTTATGAGGAGCAGTCAACATGGCTTCACCAAGGGGAAGTCATGCTTGACCAATCTCGTAGCCTTTTATGAGGAAGTAACACGGTGGATGGATGATGGCAGAGCGGTGGATGTGGTCTACCTTGACTTCAGCAAAGCATCTGACACAGTCTCCCACAGCATCCTCGCAGCCAAATTGAGGAAGTGTGGTCTGGACGATCAGGTAGTGAGGTGGACTGTGAACTGGCTGAAGGAGAGAAGCCAGAGAGTTGTAGTCTATGGGGCGGAGTCTAGTTGTAGGCCTGTATCTAGTGGAGTGCATCAAGGGTCGGTACTGGGACCAGTATTATTTAATATTTTCATCAGCGATTTAGATGAGGGAATCGAGTGTACTATCAGCAAGTTTGCTGATGACACTAAGCTGGGAGGAGTGGCTGACACGCCAGAAGGCTGTGCTGCCATCTAGGGAGACCTGGACAGGCTGGAGAGTTGGGCAGGGAATAACTTGATGAAATATAACAAGGGAAAGTGTAGAGTCCTGCATCTGGGCAGGAACAACCCCAGGTTCCATTATAGGTTGGGGAATGACCTGTTAGAGAGCAGTGTAGGGGAGAGGGACCTAGGGGTCCTAGTGGATGACAGGATGACCATGAGCCAACACTGTGACCTTGTGGCCAAGAAGGCCAATGGCATCCTGGGGTGTATTAGAAGGGGGGTAGTTAGTAGGTCGAGAGAGGTCCTCCTTCCCCTCTACTCTGCCCTGGTGAGACCGCATCTGGAATATTGTGTCCAGTTCTGGGCCCCTCATTTCAAGAAGGACAGGGACCTGCTGGAGAGAGTCCAGCGCAGGGCAAGTAAGATGATTAAGGGAGTGGAGCATCTCCCTTATGAGGAAAGACTGAGGGAGCTGGGTCTCTATAGTTTGGAGAAGAGGAGATTGAGGGGTGACCTTATTAGTGTATATAAATATATAAAGGGGGAGTGTCATGAGGATGGAGCCAAGCTCTTCTCAGTGGCAAACAATGAAAGGACAAGGGGAAATGGGTACAAACTGGAACACAAGAGGTTCCACTTAAACCTGAGAAGAAACTTCTTCTCAGTGAGGGTGACAGAACACTGGAACAGGCTGCCCAGGGAGGTTGTGGAGTCTCCTTCTTTGGAGACATTCAAAACCTGCCTGGATACGTTCCTGTGTAACCTTATCTAGGTGTTCCTGCTCCGACAGGGGGATTGGACTAGATGATCTTTTGAGGTCCCTTTCAATCTCTAACATACTGTGATACTGTGATACTGTGTGAAGGTATTCGTCCTGCCTTAGCCTCCTGCCAGGGAACCAGCTTACAAATTGGCCATCTGTTGGGAGATGCAACAGCTGGTGAACATGGCTGCAATGGACAGTCCCTTCTTCTGGGTACCAAAAGCACATAAAACATGATGTTTCCTGAAAAGAAGTGGTACCCTTCAGCAGACTAGTTAAATTCATCCAGAAATGGGCAGAAGGTGGAAGATGGAGATGGTGGCTAGAGTACGTGAGCCCAATAGGTGGCCAGTCAGATTAGACTCTTGAAGGATACTAATGAAACTTCACTTTTAGCAACATGCTTATGTTTAGATCAAAACAAATCTTCATACCTTCTTATCTATTCAATATCCTGCTGTCGTGGTTTAACCCAACCAAACAGCTTGTTCACTTACTCCCAGTGAGTGGTGCCAGGCGTTAGTCTGCCCCCCCCCTTCCCCAGGGGCTGCCGCCCCCTTTCCCCGCTCCCAGAGGGGTGGGGAGGAGAATCGAAGGAATGCAAATCCCACGGGCTGAGATAAGAACAGTCTAGCAACTAGTGTACAATACGAATCACCACTGCTACCACCAACGACAACAATGATAAGAGAAAACAGCAAAGGAAAGGAGTACAATACCACGCGCCGAACCACCAGTCCGACCCGGCCGACCCCCTCTCTTTCCGGGTCCCTCCCAGTTCCCCCCTCGGCATGACGTGCTGTGGTATGGAATACCTCTTTGGTCAGTTTGGGTCAGGTGTCCTGGCTCTGCTTCCTCCCGGCCTCCCCTCCTCCCTGGCAGAGCATGAGACTCACAAAGTCCTTGGCCAAACCAAAACATCACCTCTATCAGCTTTGTTCCCAGCCCGAAAGTCAAAACACAGCACTGCACCAGCTACCAAGAAGGAGAAAAAATGACTGCTGCTGCTAAACCCAGGACATTATCCACCCCTTATTCCATACCATTCACGTCATGCTCAGATCCTACATTTTCAATATACCATCACTCCGAACTCAGTGCACTTCTATCTTGGTGCAAAGACTAGTCCCTATAAAGCTGCTGATTCCATCTGGTCCATGATGTCAGGCGCCATCTCTTGTAACAGTCTTTCAGAACAGGAGAGGCCGCGTGCAGTATTGGGTCGTTGCCTGCTGATGCTGATCATTCCCTTACTGTAGAACTTGTCTGGTTCTGTCAAAGTTCGCTCTCTCTTGGGATGATGGTTGGAGGGAAGTCAGGGCTAGTCGCTGGTGGCCTGAAGACATCTGGTTGATGGGCTATTAAAGTATTACACAACAGGCAACAACATACAATTAAGTTCATTGGCTGTTTTCCCCTAAAATTAAATCCCCTTGAGGTACACATCGGACTTCCCCATCATCCTGCATTACCCACCAAGTGTATCCAGGTCCCTGAGCAAAAGCAATCCCACGAGTGGGTTTGCCTTTACTTGAAGCAGGAATAACCCAGACTGTCTTCCCCAGCAAATTCTTCATATGCACCACAGGAACTTTGTCCCCCTCTACAATATGTAAAAGTTCCGATTGGGCTGGGCCAGCCCTGTTGGCAGATCCTCTAGTGTTGACCAACCAGGTGGCCTTTGGTAAGTGTGTATCCCAATGCTTGAAAGTTCCCCCACCCATTGCTCTCAGTGTAGTTTTTAACAGCCCATTGTACCTTTCGATTTTCCCAGAGGCTGGTGCATGGTAGGGGATGTGATATACCCACTCAATGCCATGCTCTTTGGCCCAAGTGTCTATAAGGTTATTCCGGAAATGAGTCCCGTTGTCTGACTCAATTCTCTCTGGGGTGCCGTGTCGCCACAAAATGTGTTTCTCAAGGCCCAGGATAGTGTTCCGGGCAGTGGCGTGGGGCACAGCGTACGTTTCCAGCCATCCGGTGGTTGCTTCCACCATGGTAAGCACATGGCGCTTACCTTGGCAGGTTGGTGGCAGTGTGATATAATCAATCTGCCAGGCCTCCCCATATTTATACTTCAGCCATCGTCCTCCATACCAAAGAGGTTTTAACCGTTTGGCTTGTTTAATGGCAGCACATGTTTCACACTCATGAATAACCTGGGCAATAGTGTCCATTGTTAAGTCCACCCCTCGATCACGGGCCCATCTATATGTTGCATCTCTGCCCTGATGGCCTGAAGTGTCATGGGCCCACCGGGCCAAAAATAATTCACTTTTATGTTGCCAATCTAAGTCCATCTGAGCCACTTCAATCTTAGCAGCTTTATCCACTTGTTGGTTGTTCTGGTGTTCCTCAGTGGCCCGACTCTTGGGTACATGGGCATCTACATGACGTACCTTCACCACCGGGTTTTGCACCCGGGCAGCAATATCTTTCCACAGTGCAGCAGCCCAGATAGGTTTACCTCTGCGTTGCCAGTTGCTCTGCTTCCATTGCTGCAACCACCCCCACAGGGCATTTGCCACCATCCATGAGTCAGTATAGAGATAAAGTACTGGCCACTTTTCTCGTTCAGCAATGTCCAGGGCCAGTTGGATGGCTTTCACCTCAGCAAACTGACTCGATTCACCCTCTCCTTCAGCAGTTTCTGCAACTTGTCGTCGAGGATTCCATACAGCTGCCTTCCATCTCCGATGTTTTCCCACAATACGGCAGGACCCATCAGTAAACAAGGCATACTGCTTTTCACTTTCTGACAGCTGATTATATGGTGTGGCCTCTTCAGCACGCATCACCTCCTCCTCTGGTGACATCCCAAAATCTTTGCCCTCTGGCCAGTCCATGATGACTTCTAGAATACCTGGACGACTGGGATTTCCTATTCGAGCTCGTTGTGTAATTAGTGCAGCCCATTTACTCCATGTAGCATCAGTTGCATGATGCGTAGAGGAGACCCTGCCTTTGAACATCCAGCCTAGCACGGGCAACCGGGGTGCCAGGAGGAGCTGTGCTTCGGTGCCAATCACTTCCGAAGCAGCTCGAACCCCTTCATAGGCTGCCAGTATCTCTTTCTCAGTTGGGGTATAGCTTGCCTCAGATCCTTTGTATCCCCGACTCCAAAAACCAAGGGGTCAACCTCGAGTCTCTCCTGGAGCTTTCTGCCAGAGGCTCCAGGTAGGGCCATTCTCCCCAGCTGCGGTGTACAATACATTTTTTACATCTGGCCCAGTCCGAACTGGTCCAAGGGCCACTGCATGAACTATCTCGCGTTTAATTTGCTCAAAGGCTTGTTGTTGCTCAGGTCCCCATTTAAAATCATTCTTCTTACGGGTCACGTAATAGAGAGGGCTTACAATCAAACTGTAATTTGGGATGTGCAGTCTCCAGAACCCCACTGCACCCAAGAAAGCTTGTGTCTCTTTCTTATTAGTTGGTGGAGACATTGCTGTTATCTTGTTGATTACATCTGTGGGGATCTGTCTACGTCCATCTTGCCATTTTATTCCCAGAAATTGAATCTCCTGTGCAGGTCCCTTGACCTTACTTCGTTTTATGGCAAAACCGGCTTTCAGCAGGATTTGGATTATTTTCCTCCCTTTCTCAAAGACTTCTTCTGCTGTATCGCCCCACACTATAATGTCATCAATGTATTGCAGGTGTTCTGGCGCTTGCCCCTGTTCTAGTGCAGTATGAATCAGTCCATGGCAAATGGTAGGGCTATGTTTCCAGCCCTGGGGCAGTCGGTTCCAAGTGAACTGGACACCCCTCCAGGTAAAAGCAAACTGTGGCCTGCACTCTGTTGCCAAAGGAATTGAGAAAAACGCATTGGCAATATCAATCGTGGCATACCACTTGGCTGCCTTTGACTCCAGTTCATACTGAAGTTCTAGCATGTCTGGTACGGCAGCACTCAAGGGTGGTGTGACTTCATTCAGGCCACGATAGTCTATTGTTAGTCTCCACTCTCCATTAGACTTTCGCACTGGCCATATGGGGCTATTAAAGGGCGAGCGGGTCCTGCTGATCACTCCCTGACTCTCCAGTCTACGGATCAGCTGATGGATAGGAATCAGGGAGTCTCGGTTGGTGCGATATTGCCACCGGTGCACTGTTGTGGTTGCAATTGGCACTTGTTGTTCTTCGACTTTCAGCAGCCCCACAACAGAAGGATCCTCTGAGAGACCAGGCAAGGTGGACAGCTGCTCAACTTCTTCAGTCTCCAAAGCAGCAATACCAAAAGCCCATCGGTACCCTTTTGGGTCTTTGAAGTACCCTCTCTTGAGGTAGTCTATGCCAAGGATGCATGGAGCCTCTGGGCCAGTCACAATACGGTGCTTTTGCCATTCTCTCCCAGTCAGGCTGATTTCAGCCTCCAGTACAGTCAACTCTTGGGACCCTCCTGTCACTCCAGAAATATAGATGGGTTCCACCCCTTGACAGCTCGATGGCATCAGGGTACACTGTGCACCGGTATCTACTAGAGCCTTATACTTCTGCGGGACTGATGTGCCAGGCCATCTGATCCACACAGTCCAGTAAATCCGATTGTCCCCTACCTCCACCTGGCTGGAGGCAGGGCCCCTCTAATAGTCATCACAGGATTGGACGCTTAAGTCATGTTGAAAGGGATTATTCTTCTTTATCACAGGAGCTGGAGTAAGATCAGCTCTTCCACTCCACCTGGGAAACTGCTCACCAGAGACTGAAGCCGTAGCTCTCATGGGACGCTCAGTCTTGGCCTTTGCTCCTCTTTTCAATTCACTCACCCGTTCCTCCAAAACTGAAGTAGGTTTTCCATCCCACTTTGTCATGTCTTCTCCGTGATCCCGCAGGTAAAACCATAGGGTAGACCGTGGCGTATACCTCTTGTATCTCCTTTCTCGAACAGTGGGACGCCTTTTGCTAATAGCTGAAATGTGTGTTGGTACACGCGAGGAGTTGGATAAGTCAGATATATCGTCCCTCAATTGTTTGAGATCCTGGGACAGTTTTTCCACAGCTGAGATGATGGAAGGGGTGAGATTGTCTTTGAACTCGCGGAGTTTATGAACCATTTCATCCACTGTTAGTGGTACTATGTCATTCCAGGTTACTGTTGCCAATGAATGGGCGTATGATGATGGTGCATTCCGTGTAAGTTTTCGCCACATGGGTCGTGTACATTCGACTTCATCTGGATCTATGGGTATATTCCCGTTATTCGGCTTGATGTGATAGATCATCTCTACGATGGCTGATTCTCTCAGAGACTGGATACCTTTGTCTATAGTAGTCCACTTGGCCGAACGACTCATAACATCGTCCTTGTATGGAAACCTTTCTTTGACAGCTGCCAAGAGCCGCCTCCAAAGACTGAGGGACTTTTTCTCTCTTGCAATTGCTTTGTCAATTCCCCCTTCTTTAGCAAGTGATCCCAACTGCTTGGCTTCTGTACCTTCTAGTTCGTGACCATCGGCCCCATTGTCCCAGCATCGGAGCAACCAGGTGATGATGTGCTCCCCTGGTTGACGGGTAAAATCTTTTCGCATATTCCGTAGCTCGGTTGAGGTCCGAAGTCGAGAAGTCACCTCTCCTTCTTCTTCTTCATCATGTGATGATGACTCCTGATCATGTTCTGGATCGAGTAGTGAACACATTGTTTCTTCGTCTTGCTTTAACCTTCCTGCCTCCTTTTTGCTTTTTCTCTTGCGTACAGGGGCAACCGATATTAGTACGAATTGGTCCTCTGGTTTAGTTGCAGTTGTTATCACTGTGGTTTGAGTAGCGACTGTACTTGTTGCTGGGGGTGGTGTAGCTGCTGTACTTGGAGCTGGAGTATCTGTACTGGCTGTTGCTTTGCCCTCAGATCCAGCAACATTTTTTTCCTTTTGAAGGTGCTGGAAAGCATTGAACATGGCCCTGTAAGCATAGGCCAAGCCCCAGCACGTTGCCATGATTTGTCCGTCTCTGGTATGGCCAGACTGACCACACACCTCATTTAAGTGTTTTACTAATTCTTCTGGATTTTGCAGTTGTTCGGTGGTGAAATTCCAAAGTACTGGAGGGGCCCACTGACCTAGATACTTGCCCATACTGTCCCACACACCCTGCCACTCATGGCTGTCCAGCCTCAGAGAAAATCTCTTGGTCCTCCTACTTCGTTGTTTAACCCCAGACAAGACCCAAACCTGACTCTGCTTAACTTTTGAAAACAGATGAAATAGTTGTGGCCAAAATACACTCTGTATACGTGCCAACATGGTGATCCCCATCACAATCAGCAAACAAGTCTCAATAGCATTAAAAGGCCATTCAAAACTCTCAAATGATGCTGTAAATGCTCTGGGGGGAGGAATGGGAGGGTAAAAGAATGCCTCCTTCACAGGTTGACCACCCGAGAAGGAGAAAGAATATGTGTAATTGCTAAGCACTTCTATTATATACCTCCCAAAGTATAAAGGTGGTGACCATACTGGGAACATAAACCAGATAAGTTTCATGATCAATAATTCTATTGTGTTACAAGTCATCATCATAAAGTACACTGAGACAAGAACTTTAGCCCAAGCCCCACACTTGAAAAACACTAATACAGCAAATACCAGATCTAAGTAAATTACAACATTCTGAAGCTGTGAGATCAAGAGGAACAACTTTGAGAGCCAATAAATCAGCATTGTGATGAGTGACTATTAATCCGGTCAGATCTGTTGTTATCTCAGCCCCTTCGTGCCCCACGTTGGGCGCCAAAAAGAACTGTCGTGGTTTAACCCAACCAAACAGCTTGTTCACTTACTCCCAGTGAGTGGTGCCAGGCGTTAGTCCGCCCCCCCCCCTTCCCCAGGGGCTGCCGCCCCCTTTCCCCGCTCCCAGAGGGGTGGGGAGGAGAATCGAAGGTATGCAAATCCCATGGGCTGAGATAAGAACAGTCTAGCAACTAGTGTACAATACGAATCACCACTGCTACCACCAACGACAACAATGATAAGAGAAAACAGCAAAGGAAAGGAGTACAATACCACGCGCCGAACCACCAGTCCGACCCGGCCGACCCCCTCTCCTTCCGGGTCCCTCCCAGTTCCCCCCTTGGCATGACGTGCTGTGGTATGGAATACCTCTTTGGTCAGTTTGGGTCAGGTGTCCTGTCTCTGCTTCCTCCCGGCCTCCCCTCCTCCCTGGCAGAGCATGAGACTCACAAAGTCCTTGGCCAAACCAAAACATCATTTTTATCAGCTTTGTTCCCAGCCCGAAAGTCAAAACACAGCACTGCACCAGCTACCAAGAAGGAGAAAAAATGACTGCTGTTGCTAAACCCAGGACACCTGCTAAAAGAATCTTTTGCTTCCCTGCATTTGGCAGGTTGTACACACACAACTCAGTTCTGCTCCAGCAGCGCTGGAACTTGTGCTGCTTTGGACTGTACTGAACATCTTAGGCAGCCATGACGTGCTTTGCCACTGGAGATCGCCTTGTGCCCTCACTGCTCAACAAGCTTTGCTGTAAAAAATGCACCTTAGAACTGCAAAAAGCAGAGGGAAAAATGTATACTTTACTGACAGCTGGCCCATCACCCAGTTATCTTTAGGGAATCTTCCTTCCTGAGAGGTTCTCCTGTGAGGAAAGACAACCCCAGTAGACAAATTTGAGTTTCCTCAAATCACCAGTTTGTTGGAGAGGTATTACTTCTGCTGTGGCTGTGGCCACCTCCTCTTTGCTGGAATGTGAGAACTCAGGTTCTTCTTAGTCTGCCAAAGTCTCATTTACCCAGTCCAGCTGTTAGCCTCCTGATGATGGAAGGAGAATTGCTGCCAAGAACCCA